GCTGCCATGTCTGGAGATCTCTTCTATGGGCATGGTCTATGCTACCTCAGATGCTACTTCCATGTTACCTCTGTAATCACTGCCGCCGAACCCAAGGTATCCTGTCAATAAACTCCACCTGCACTGCTATGCCATTCCTGTTGCCTTTGATTCTACTGCTGCCACGCTGAGGTATCCTGGATATCTTCTTTCTGGGTGATGCTGCCCTTACAGCTGCAACCCCCTGTTGCTGCCCCAGATTCACCTGAAGCTGACACTGGTTCTGTCCCCAGAGGTTGCTAGGTGATGCTGCCCCCACAGGTCCAGTTGCAGCTGCCAATGATGCTGACAACAACCACCGCCCTACTGCTGCTATGATGGCCTAGAGGACTGCTATAGGGAGATTCCATGTTTGGTTGCACGTAGCTACACTGGTTTTGGGACACCAGCCAGGGCCTGGGGTCTGGGTGTTACCACCACAAGAGCCTCTTTCTGGGGATTCCATTTGAGACCTGCAGGTTTAATGTGGAGGTTCCTGTGGGTTTGGAGGTGCCTGGGGTCTTCCTGCTAAGAGTACTGGTGGCCCTTACGTACTGCTGCATCTCGGGGTTGCTCCTTTTCATGAGTGTATCCCTGGTGGCCTCTCTGCAAGTAGGAGCAGCACTGAGATATTGGGGAAGCAGGTGACTGAGCCTGAGGGATCTGAAGCCCAGATTGGTGGAATAGTGACTGGGTTTTCAATGGCTGATGTGGGTCTTGTGATTTTGAGAGATATCAGAGACAGGGCTGAGACACTGTTGAACACTAACAGAGACAGGTCGACTTTCCAGCAAGATTTATTTTATTTTATTTCTTGCTTAATTAACATCTCTACTATATTTGTAACAGAATTTTTATGCACCAGTATGTGGAGGACAATGATATATGAATGGTGTTTTGTATGTTCACTATATTCTTAAGTCTTTAATTTTTTTGTCTTTGTTTCTATTTTTCTACTTTCTTGTCTATTTTCTTTCTAACTTTTCTCAACCAACAGCCAATCTCTATCAACTCCTCTTCCTTTCCTCCTGTGAATCTTTACTTCTAGCTTCTCTCTTCCTTTCTTGCAAATATTGTGTACTACACTACCTCTGTTCTCTCATTCATCATTTGAAATTATAAAACATTTTAACAAATTTTATATTTATACTATATATAGTTATTGAACTCATCATTTTGGTTTAATGCTAGAAAGCAGTAGACACCTTAGTAGGAGTTATTAGGTTTAAGGACATATATTGTCTACACTGGGTGATGTTGATATTGGTCTCATCATTAAAAGTGAGGCACTGGAAACCTTCAGGATCATTACAGGTCTACAGTGTAGAAATTTATGCTGCCTTAAATTTATACTTCTAGATGGCAAAACACACTAACAACATATAAAAATAAAAGGGGGAATAAAGTATCCTAAACAAACCAAGATGCTTCAACAACAGAAGCCACTGATAACATAGTAGAATAATGTCTAAGAGGGAGTTCAGATTGTTTATAGTTAAATTGACATGTGTAGTAAAGAATAGCATAAGAAGTGAAATCAAAGAAAATATACAGGAACTGAAAAATCAATAAAGAGTTAGAGATTGTAGGGAAAAAAACAGGAATCCTCAAAATGATGGAATCAGTAAACAAAATTATAAATTCAATAGAAAGCATCACCAACAGACTAGACCACTTGGAACACAGAACCGCAGACAATGAAGACAAAATAAATAATCTTGAAAGTAAGTTTGATTGTGCAGAAAAGTTGGTAAGAAGCCATGAAAAGAGTATATAAGAATTATGGGATAACATGAAAATAATAAATTTAAGCGGTATCAGAATAAATGAAGGAGCAGATACAAACCAAAGGAATGCACAATATTTTCAAAGATATAATAGCAGAAAATTTCCCATACCTAAATAATAGAATGGAAAATCAAATACAAGAGGCTTACAGGACCCAAAATATGGGACCCACATCAAGACACATTACATTGAGAATGACTAACACAGAATAAAGATAAAATCTTTAAGGCTGTGAGAGGAACATTAAAATTTCATATAGGGAGAAACTAATTTGGATCTCAACTGATTTCTCAAACCAGATCCTCAAAGCTAGGCAGTCCTTGAATGATATATATTAAGCTCTGAAAAAAAATAATAATGCCATCCAAGAATTTTATATCTGACATCTTGCTCTTTTTGATAAACATGTTCTTCGAAATTCACCTGTGTGGTGGGTATGGTAGAAGTTTGTTCCCTTTAACTAAGGATAATTTTCTATTATATGAACATGTCAGTCAATCTTCATGTTAACAAGTTGGCATAGGTTTGAGACTGTTCTTAATGTTTTAGGGACAGTCTTGCAACATCCTTGGTAGACGTGTGCATTCACTTGTCTTGAGTATATTCCTAGGTATCAAAGTGGTGAGTCAGAGTTTTTCTGTGCAGTTTAGCTTCAATGAACACTAAAATAATATAGTGATGTTTTCTAAAATAGTGAGCATGTTTGCCATCTACCAACCTGTACCGTACAGAAAAGTTGCAGTTGCTATAAAACCTCCCAAATAATATTTGATATTGTTATCTTTGTAAAATTGTATCTATATTGGTACGACCTAAAATGCTATTTATTTGATGAGCAGTGAAATTGAGTAATTTCTCATGTCTGGATATTCAAGAATATCCATATATTTTGAAATTTTCCATTAGGAACAGCTAGTGATCAAATCAAATCATTCTTACCGTTATGCTTTCCTCCATTTTGATATTTTTTCCTTAGGAACACAGCACACTTCTGGGTGTGACTGTGAAGGTATTTCAAAAATTTTTTAGCAGGTTGATGGAAGTGAGTCAAAGACCCAGCCTGAATACGAGCAAAATAGTAGGAGAAACCACCATCTCTTCTCTCTCCACTTCCCAACTTGAACAAGTGCACTGACCCACTTGACCACTGTTCCCTGTGAGTGCCAAATACTAGGTTTCTTAGATTTTTAATGTGAACTTGCACCAGTGAACCTTCAGGGACTTTCAGACCTAGGGATACAAACAGGGAAGCATATTGTGCATTTTCAACCCCACAACCCCCACCTTCTTGTATTAAGAAACTACCAGTTTCCCTGGTTATCCTGAGTAAAAAGAGTCATTGGTGAACATTTCAGCCTGTGTGACTTTGTGACTCAATCTAATATTCTACTACACATAAATATTAGAGGTATGTATGTAGACGTGTATTTGTGTGCATGTATATATGAATGTATTCTGTTTCTCTGGAGAACACCGACTTGTACACTGACAAAAAAAAAAAAATCTTCTTAACGTATATAAAGACCCAAAGAATTTAAAAGCATCATACTACAGGAACACAGTCACATCAATGTTTATACCAGCACAATTCATAATATAAAATTGTGGAACCAACCTAGATGCCCTTCAGTCAATAAATGGATAAAGGAAATGTGGTGTGTATACACAATGGAATATTACTCAGCAACAAAAGAGAATAAGCATTCTTTAATCCAGTCAAGGAGACAGCATAAATTGACTCTCACAGTTAGAAGTATGCATTATAATATCTTCTCTAAGTTGATATCTTGCCAATTTGCTTTCTGCTTTTGATTTTTAATGTATTTTGTTGATAAACAAATCAAACATTTGCATTCATGGGTTCTGCATCTTTGGATTCAACCAATAATAAGTTGAACATATTTAAGAAAAAATGTATCTGTACTTAATATGTACAGACTCTTTTCATGACATTATTCTCTAAATAATATAGTAGAAGAAAACTACATAAAGAGATAATTTAAAGCATTTGAGGGATGGAATTTGTTACATAAGACTAATTAATCCATAAGCTTTAAATTCACTCTCATAGAAAGTCTCAATCTACATACCACATGCCTGTAATTCCAGCAGCTCCAGAGGTTGTGGTAGGAGGATGGTGAGTTCAAAGAAAGCCTAAGCAAAGTGAGGTGCTAAGCAAATCAGTGAGACCCTGTCTCTAAATAAAATCAAAATAGGATATGGCTCTGTTGCCTCTGCCATAGCCATGAACAGCATCAGGGAGGCTTGCACCAACATGAAGCACGAGCACAACCAGTGCTTCAATGTCTAGTTTGCCAAAAAAGTTCCTCAAGGGAGATGGCTCTGAGGACCCATATGATGACCTCTTCAAGAGCTACCAGCAGTGCATCCAGAAATCAGTAAAAGAGAAAGAGATTCCTATTGAAAGACTGGAGTTCATGGGCCATGGCAAAGAAAAGCCTGAAAACTCTTCTTGATATTAGCTGTCACCTTGAAAATGGATTCCTATGTCAGGAAATTGAAGACTCTGGATTTTGTCAACTAAGGCTGTGAATATAGCTGTAGGATTCAATGAATATAGGAGGAAATTGTTTTATTTCTTATCTATTGATGTTTTCCTCTCACTTGTAAAAGATGATGAATGACCACTCTGCTTTAAGATAATTTCTCACTTGATCTGGCATCTTCCAGAACTTCAATGGGCTAAAACTGAACAGTTTCTTGGGGTTATGGTTGCAATACCTGGTCTGAAATTAGCTTTAAATATATTTTGTATATAACTTATTGATAAACTACTCAAGATGAGAAGGGTTGCCTGACTTCTTGGTTTTGATGCAAAGGACATTAGGTACATTATACTGGGGTCATTGTTGATGAAAACAATTGGTTAGGACTTCTTTCTTCTCTTAGGGAACTAATGCTTTAAAAAGGGATCAAGAAAAACAGTTTCATCCAGTTTATTTTTATAACAGTTGAAAAAAAATTGCCGGTGGCCTGGATAAGCAAAGAGGAAGACATTCTTTTAAAAGACAGTTTCCTGCCTTAAGAGGTGTCCAATTAAGACATGAAAGCTTCAAGAACGTTAAAATGAACACCATTTCAGAGCTCACAGCATAGTTCTGGAATTACATTACTTGGAGTTGCTATGGCAAAAGAACCCAAACTACAAAAATTTGTTATTGCCAGTTATCAATCCAAGTTAATGAATTAACTCAACCTGCCTATCATAAAAATGTCAAAATGCTGCATCTGGTAAAATGGAGGAGAAAGGTGCTTTCCTCATTTGCCTTGTTTTCTCACCTTGCCCTATATATAATGCCCGTAATCACTATGATTAATGAAATTTTAACATTAAAAAATAGGTCTTGGGATGTACCTCTGTGCTTGAGTGCCCCTGAATTCCATTCCTGGAATAGAGCCTTCCTCCTCAGAAAACTCATGAGGCCAGTCTTTACTGTCCACAGTTCCATCAGCATTCTGGTCTATGAGTTTTCATCAGAATCACCCACTAAACTCTGCTCACAACAACCTAACGCTTTTACAACTTGCATCTCTCTCTTTTCAAAATTGTGCCCACAAGTTCCAAAAAGTTTTCAAAGAATATGAAACATGTGGTTAGGTTAGTCACAGCAACCACCATACTTCTTGGTATGAATTTTTGTTTTAGTCAATCTTTTCAAAATACCAGAGAACAAAACTCAGAGAAGGAAAAGTATATTTTGGCTCATGAATTCAGATGTCTCTGACAACAGATGGCTGACTACATAGCACTGAGCCTAAGTGGAGACATGACATCATGGTGGAAAGACATAGAGGAGGAAGGCAGTTCAGGACATGGACACCAGGAAGCAGAGAGAACTCCTCTAACCAGGGACAATATATAAACTCAAAAGAGCGTCCTAAGTGACCCACCTCCTTCAGTTACATCTTGTCTACCTATAGTTGTCACCATATAATCTGCACTGGAGGATTCATTCACTGATTAGGATAAAGATTTCATAATCCCATCATTCCACCTCTAAGCTTTCTTTCATTGTCCTGTACATGAGCTTTTGGGTGGTATCTCATATCTAAATTGTAACAGTGACATTGAGTACCCATTCAAATATTTGATGACCACTTATACATCTTCTTTGAAAAATTGTCTCTTCATGACTTTGGCCCATTTTAAATCATGTTTTTTGTTTTTGTTATTGATTTTTGCTGTTGAGTTTTGTGAAATATTTAGATATTTTGAATACTAACTATTATAAGAAATTTTTTGTAAATATTTTCTCTCATTCTGTAAGTTTCATCTTCCTTTTGTTATTTCCTTTGCTTTACATAATTTTTACTCCCACTTGTCTATGATTGTTTTTGTTGCCATGCTTTTAGTGTAAAATCTGGAAAGACATTAATAAAACCAATGTCAAGGTATTCATCCCCCATATTTTCTTTTAGATTTTACATTATCAAGTCTTATATTTAATTCTTTAATAAAATTGAGTTAAATTTTGTATATAGCATAGAACAAGGGTCTAGTTTCATTCTTTGAATGTGTGCATCAATTTTTCCCAAAAGTATTTGTTGATGAGATTTTCTCTCTCCACTGTGTGTTCTTAATGTTTTTGTGAAAGATTGGTTGACCATTTATGTTTAGGTTAATTTCTGGGTTTTCCATTATATACCAATGGCTTATATATCAGCCACTTTTGCCTGTACCATAGTATTTTCATTACAATTTAAATTCAGGAATTGTGATGCCTCCAGGATGTTGTTCTTTCCTGAGATTGGTTTGGCTCTTTATGTTCTTTTGGGAATCCACACAAATTTTTTTCCAAAAATACCACTGGGCTTTTGAGAGGGATGATATTGAACCTCTATCTCACTTTGAGTAATATGGACATATTTCAATTCATGGACATGGGATATCCAGTTATTTTTGTCTTCTATAATATCTTTAATTAGCTTTCATTAATGTAATGTATGAATGTTCTTCTTCTGTTATGGTTGTGCACATCTGTTTCCTGTTTAAAACTGCCTCATTTATGTTGGAATTTATCCCCCTCAGCTCCTCTAGAAGCTGCATTATTTTAGCTCTTACCTGTAGACTATGATCCTCTGTTAACTATGTTTACTGATAAGATATGGGTGAGAATATCTTTCTAAACTCCAGTTAATTTTATTTTTACACTCAATTGCACTTTGCAAATTATTTTAAAAAATGAAAAAGAAATTTCTCATGATCCTTTTTATTACCTTTGTTAGAAATGAGGTGACATTATATATATGGCTCCACATGAATTTCCAGAGGTTTTTTGTATATGCACTGTAGTTGTACCTATAATTCACTCTTACAGAAAAAACATATATATGTATACATACATATATATAACTTTACACATACATAGTTTTACATAGACGTGTGCATGCACACACGCGTGCACACACACATACATGCACACAAATACACATATCCTTTCCTACTGTACTGGGAAAAAAATACTCAGGCACTGTGCATCCTGGGAAAATGTTCTTAAATATTCTATCACTGAGCTATATTCCCTACAATAGGTTTTAAAATTGAAAATTATCAGTATTCTTTCTTCTTTAAATTTTGTTTTCATACTAGCTACTTTGATTTTCCTTATAAATTCTATAATCAGTTTATCAATTTCAGGGAATCATTTGTGGACATTGATTTGATTGGAGTGTGTGGATATATGTCTACATTTGGGAAAAATGATATCTTAATAATATCAAGTTTTTTACTCTATGAACATGATAAAGCATTTATATAAATCTTCCTTAATCCACAACAGGTACTGTATATACTGACAGAGCATCCAGAGACTTTGTAATATTATTACATGTTAAGATTTTTCAGTTAGGTCTTTACAAATTTATGCACAAAATATTGTTATTAAAATATAAAAATATTTTACTTCTTTCTTTCAAAATTTTTGCCTTTTAGATCCTTTTTTGCCTTGTGGAATTTGCTAGGACCTCCAATAAAATAAAAGTGATTAAAGTGGATACTTTTAAAATCAATCTAAAGAATAAATATTAAATATTTTCTAACTGATTATGATGTTAGTTGACACCTTATCAGGAGTATAAACAGAGCCTTCCATGATTGGTAAGCAGGGATCACCTGAGCATCTGTTGATGGGTGTGCTGTGCACTCCACTGAGTGTTATAGAGAATGACCCAAGGATAGATTCTTGTGTGTGTGGACAGTGCTACTTACTGTCTTCATGGACATGGTGTCAGTGCCGTGAAGGCTGAGATTCCAGGTCCTGTCCCTTTTTACAGGCATGGCTGTCCAGGGGGCATCACTGCTAAGGCTAACTGAATATTGGTCTTTAGAATTTTTCAAAGAATAGTTTTGCTTCAGAAATGTTGGGAAAGTTTGCTAAGCAAGGGGAAAAATGTGTTGAAGAAAACTTCATATTTCATTTAAACCAGATACCATCATGATCAGGGGAGATGGACAGACCCATTAGAGAAAAAGGAAAGAAAGAAAGAAAGAAAGAAAGAAAGAAAGAAAGAAAGAAAGAAAGAAAGAAAGAAAGAAAGAAAGAAAAGAAAGAAAGAAAGAAAG